GAACTGCAAAACATATTTAATATATACAATACAATAATTGATTCCATTCTTTATTTCAGTCATGCAACTAGAGAGTAAAATTAAAGAGCTACAGGATAAGTTAACTGTTCAAGCTGAAAGACCTGATGTACATGTACCACAAGAAGTGGAGGACAGTGAGGATGATAATGAAGATGATGATGATATCCCAGATGACACCCAGGATGACGGCTCGGCTTATAATACAGAGACTGAACCAGAAAGTGACGATGATGAACCCTTACCTGAAGATGAAAATTCTAAAAAGTAATTCTATGTTCATGCAGTTGTTGTAGTTGCACTTATTAATATTTGCTTTTTCCTTTTTGTAGTGTCAGCATGTATGGTACCAGTGTAAGGACAGAGCCGAAGTACATTGTATTTTTGTCACAGCTTTTGGAGCTGTTTCRTTTTTGTCACTACTGTAAAAGTGACGATSCAATGGTAGGGGCAAAGCAAATRGGAACTGAAGTAACAGTTACAGCTTCATGCAAGAACTCGAGCTGTTTAAAAGAATTTATATGGCATAGCCAACCATTGATGACTTTCAAGTCAGGGCAAAAGGGRGCTGCTGGTAACTTCTTGTTATCGATGGCAATACTCTTCGCTGGAAGCTCTGCTACAAAAGTGTTCCAGGTGTTTTCAAATTTGGCTCTTGGGTGTATTTCKCTGAGAACATTCTTCAGACACCAAAAAGTGAGTATTGTACAGTGTAGCAATGGCGTATATTGTCATGAAAATATTTTTTTCATAAATATGTWTGTGTTATTCTCTTATYACATTTTTTATTCTCTGATGTYATGTTAYATCTCTGTGCTTATTCTTCTAGCGATATCTGTTTCCTGTCATCTATCTCCACTRGCAAACATACCAAGCTAAACTGTTAGAGGATATTAAGAACGAGGGAAAGGACATAGTGGTATCAGGAGATGCTAGGCATGACAGCATGGGCCATAATGCTAAATYTGGGGCATATACCATCTGCTGCTGTACAACTTCTAAGATAATTCATTTCAGCCTTGTCCAGGTATTTTTATGATATAAACTTTGATGAAATATCAGTAAATCACTTGGGTGAAATTATAAGTGATATGTCACTTGTTGGCTTCGCTCACTTTTGAGGTGRAAACTTGTATCAAAGTCTGTATCGCCACAAGTAATTATGGGTCATGTTCATGTTATGCAGACACATTTACTTGTATTTCTTGTTGACATGATATTAT